GGGGTGGACTTGGGGATGCCTGGGACAGAGCAGCTGGGGTGCTGCCGGGTTGGTCCAGCACGGGGGCAGCGGGACAGCCCAGACGTGCCGTGGCTGTCCTGCTGCCCTCGGGCTCGGTGGCTTTGCTCTGCTCTGCTCCCCGTCCCCCAGGTCTGCAGACCAGGGGGAGGGGGAGCAGAGTAGAGCAGAGCGGCAGAACGCGCGGCCAGCTGACAGCCCAGACGCATCTGGGCTGTCAGCTGGCCGCGTATTCCGCCGCTTTGCTTCCTCTCCCTGGTCTGCTGGAGACCAGGGAGAGGGAGGGCCCCGTTGGTAACTGAGGATCCAACGTAAGTCGGATCCGCGTAACTCGGGGACTGCCTGTACTCATTTGTGATCCAGTTTCTAGTCTCTCTAGTCTGTGTTTGTTGGTGGAATTTCATGTTATTTGTTTTAATTGGTTGTTTGATGTTTTGATTTGTGCTTGCAGAACAGGAAAACATCAAGCTTCCCTGTGACAGTGCACAACACTCTGTTAGGAAAAAGAGAATTGTGACATCAAAATCAGAATCCTCTTCATCTAAAGAAACACCTTCCAGTGTAATGCCTTCTCTGAGGATTCCTAAGAGCAAATCAGTCTCTAGTATACATTCATCTGAGACAGAGGAAAGGTACATCTTTCTTTTCTCTATCTTTTAGTCTTCTTAGAGTATAACAAATGGGTCAGGAACAGTGTTTCCTCTAAGATTTTCCATCCATGAGTAGAGTGAGTTTTGTCTTGTGCACCAGTATTGAAGTCCTATGTGCTTGTTCTGATGTGTGCCACCATATACAATTTTAAATATTATGGAAGTTATCATACTTAAATAAGGGATAATTAACAAGGTATATGATTTTAAATTAGGGTTGCAAGATGGTTTCAACAAAAATACTGGACATACTTGACATTACATCACAATCTACATTACATCTTATTTAGAAACTATCGGACACTTATATTTTCTCAATTTGTTTCCCAAACAGAGAGCTCAAATACTGGACTGTCCGGTTCAAAGCCAGACACCTGGCAACCCTATTTTAAATGTTAATTTAATATGAAATCAAATAAAAAGAAAATTAATACATCAAAATTTTCAGTAGCCACTTGGTATCATTTTCATTCCTTTATCTGCCCTCCTGCCCCTCTGTTGGAGTTGTTGGCAAGAAAGAACTGAAAGGGTGTAGGGCTGGTGGCACCTAATACTATCGATGCATGAGTGCAGCAATCCAGAGGGTGCCACTGCTGACCATGTGGCTACCTCTAAGGCAATGTGCACCTAGAATAGAAAGGATATAAGTAACATGTCTCTAAGAACAACAGTTATGAAAGGTAGGTAACTGTTTTTCCCCTACTGCAGCTGTCTTTAGGTTGGGAATTAAGGTTTTCCCTCCCTATTTTTCCTAATTTGAATTGTTGCTTTCCTTGACTAATGCTTCTCTTCCACTTTTATATCTTGGGGAAAAGGGCATTCAGTAAAATGTAATGCCTGTAAAAGCTTCTCCAAAAGGAGCTGAAAAATTAGGTTAACCAGATCCAGAACTAATTGATTCAAGAACCTGAGCTAGCTCAAAATGTTCTTCTGTGAAAGTCACCAAGCACAATTCCTTTAACGAACAGCGCCTCCCCACCTCTCTTTCCCCCCTCCCCCAAAAAAGTACCACATGTAGTTCCAGCAGTTTCAAGGAGCCATGTGGCAAAAAGAAGCATTCCACAAAGGATCCTACCATCATGACATTGAGTTCCACAGATTACTTGTGCATTGTTTAATTTGTTTTGTTTTTATAGATTTATAGGTTCTCAAGTTTCCTTCTCTGTATTATTTATTTAAAAACCTCTCTTACACTCCCTTTTTTGGCCTGGTCGTGAAACAACCCTAATATTTTTAGGTCTTTCTTGAAATGGAAGTGTTTCCATGCCTCTAATTGTCTTGTCATCAGTCTCTGAACTGCCTCTCTTTGCTGTATTTCTTTGGAAGTAAAGTAACTGGAACTGAAGAAAGCTGACATACCATTTGATTTATATAGTGCTTATAGATTTTAAGGCTTAAAAGGAACATTATGCAGGAGGTCAAACTAGCTGATCATAACACACACTGAAGAACCTCACACAGTATACTCTCTACCAATCCTGTAATTTCTGTTTGAGCTATATAATTTATCTTTTTAGAAAGATATCCAGTCTTTTAAAAAAATCTTCAAATAATGGAGAATCTGTAGGTAGGTAGTTGGGATATGAAAGTGTAACTGTGTACACGATTAACCAATGAGTCTAGTGACACTAGGCTCATCGGTTAACCTTCATGGTTTCACACAGGCTCCTGAGGACATGCCTGTCTGCTTCCCTCTCCCTCTTCCCCCCCACCTCCCCACTTATAAGCATGTAAATGCTGAAATTTTCAGCAGTTACACGTTTACTTGATTAAATGAATTGTAACATCCTTAGTGGTAGGTTCTTCTAGTGGTTGATCACTCAGGTTAATTACACTTTAAAAAAAATCACCTAATTTCTAGTCTTAATTTGTTTAATTTTAGTTTCTAACCGTTGTTCTGTCTTAGCTCCTTAATTTGTTTAATTTTAGTTTCTAACCATTGTTCTGTCTTAGCTCTTTAATTTGAAAATTAGAGCTTTCTTAATCTTTTCTTGGATGAACTAAACAGATTGAGTTTATTTAGTCTCTGACTATAATGGAGTATCATACTTGTTCTTCAAGTGATTGATGTTCTGTGAAGTGCACTACATGTGCCCAGGACTGGAGATTTTTTTCCCTAGTAGTATCTGTTTTGGTCTACTTGGGCACCTCCACTTTTTGTGCCCTATACCAAGAGTTTTAAGGAGGGGCCGATGGATGGCTGACATCTTTACTTCAGTCTTACCACTCATTGTTTAGGATGAAGTGTCAGTGTTCATGCTGACTACTACTTCAGCTTTTTCCTATAAATAAATTGTAAATAATTTTGAATATGTAGCTTTAATTATTTATCTAATCATTTGAAGTTCATCTCCCTAACATTTGGAGGAGTGATTCTACTTTAAAAAACAACCAAAAAACAACCAAACAAAATTTTTTTGCTGAAACTTCATGCAGTGCCGCAAGCTCTTCCTGGTCACAGTCTACTATGGTGCCTGTCTGTACTGTCTGAGGAAAACCACATTCAGACCAAGTGCAACAGGACAAAGCAGTAAAGGAAGTTCCAAATCTGATCATGAAGAAGGCCCATGAAACTCTAGACAACTGATGGGAGACACATTCTCTCCCCAGCCTAGTACCTTGGCCTCAAAAAGGTAAGAGCAACCTGTTGAGTACAGTTCCAGGACTCTCCATCCTCTCCCAACTGGCTATGAGAGACTTGGATGAGCAGAGTCAAGGTGAATAGGGAGGGGAGGGAAGGGAGACATAGGCACTCCAATAAGGCAAGGAGGGGGAGTTCCATTTTCATATCCTCAATGAAACCAAAGTCCCCATCTCATACCAAGCCAAGAAAGTTCCATAGTGGGACTGTCTGGTATGAGGATAGACCAGCCTGGTAACTAACTGAACAGCAAGACTGTGCCAGCTCCTGGTACTGTGAGTAGTACTTGGACACCAACAACAGCCTCTGTGCCACCACTTCCAGATTCCAAGCTAGAATGTCACTGGTACCATCAATGAGTAGTCAGGTGATTCCCACCTCTGCGGATACTGACTCTCTCCCATTTTGGATTTGAAGTCAGAGTCAAAAGGTTGAAATGAATATGGCCTATATTCTGACTACTCCACAAGAGGCAGTTCTGGGAGTGAAGTCTATATAGTGTTTCAGGTGTCTTCAGGGTATCTTAGTATTCTCAAAAGAACAGATTACCCTCTCTTCACATATTGGTACCCATCACCATGGGGCCAGGCACCAAGGTTTGAAGTCCCACAATGATAGTACTGTGACCCAGAAGACCCGTGATACTAGTAGCCTGCCCAACAGCTACAACAATCAGAATAGGTGAACACCACGTTGCTGATCGTGTCGTTGTCCTCTCCATATGAGGCAGTGATTCCAGCTTTCCTGCCATGTCTTAAGGCTCCTAAGTCTTTCTAGGAGTTGCTCAAAAGGCTACAGATTGCCTTGGAAGAGGTCCATGAAACTCCACATAGACTGCTAGACATCCTGCACACACTGGACTGAGTAGACTGGCACTTCCAATCGACTGCACTGTCCTTGAACCTACTAAGACACTTAGCAAATGTTTGCCACTAGTATCCAAGCGGGCTCCAGCCAGTTAGTCTAGATCAGTGGTCCCCAACCTTTTGAGGTTGTCGGGTGCCAGGGGGCGTGGCTGTTCGCCCGCCGGGTGCCAGGGGGCGGGGACACTTGTGCGCCCGGGGCCCCCCCATAGCTGCATGCCCGGGGCCGGGGCCCCT